CAAGGGGAACACTATGCAGAAAAGTGTAAGGTAGTTACAAGCATCGAAGAAAGAAAATCAAAATTGATTGAAGGAAATCGTTGTTTCAATTGTTTGAGGATTGGTCATCGAGCGAAAACATGCAGAAGTCCACCGAAGTGCTTTCACTGTAAAAGCAAACACAATTCAGCATTGCACGAAGACCTAGTTATGGAAGAGAAGCGAGGGGTACCTGCACCGCAAACGACGGTCAATACCGCGTCAGATGAGAGAAAGAATGTTCTTCTACAGACAGCACAGACGTATGGCTTTGGTGCGGATAGGAGCGAGAAACAGCTGGTGAACATCCTGTTTGACTCAGGCAGTCAGAGAAGCTACATTTCAGAAGAAACGGTGAAGAAGCTGGGGTTGAAGGTCGAGAAAACAGAGACCGTATACTTGAACACTTTCGGTTCAAATAAATATGAGAAGAAAAGTTGTGATAGGGTAACGGTAAATCTAGAAGTAGGAGATGAAATATTGACGTTAACCGTATTAAGTTCCCCCCATCTTTGTTTGCCATTAAGTACACCAATAGATGTAAGTTGCTATCCACATTTGCAAGGTTTGCAACTCGCCGATAGTTATGCGACTTGCGAAAAGCGCATAGAAATAGTCATTGGTGTAGATTATTATTATCGCATAGTGCAAGGCGAAGTAAGAAAGGGCGGCAATGGCCTTGTTGCAATAAGTAGCAAACTCGGTTGGTTGCTTTGTGGACCTGTTGTTTGTAATGAAGGTGATAAAAGCTCTTTAAATAATGTGATGAATTTAATTGTTGATGTTTTACCTTCGAGAGACGAAATTACAGATGATAGCAGAGAAATCGTCGAATCGCTGACAAAATTTTGGAAGCACGAATCCGCGGGTCTTTATGAAACCGAGAATCCTGAAGACAAGAAGACCGATGATGGAGGGGTGGATATCAACTTCAAGGATGGTCGCTACACGGTAAGACTTCCATTTAAAGATGATTTGTATCGTAGCCTACCTTCAAATTATGATATGAGTAAGAAACGGCTTGAATCATTGTTCAGTAAACTTAAAACTAAGCCCGATCTTTTGAAACAATATGATGAAATTTTTCAGCAACAACTTTCTGATGGTATTATTGAAGAGGTTTCTCAAGAAAATATTGATAAACAAGGGTCGCATTTTCTTTGTCACTTTGGTGTTATAAGAAATTATAGAGAGACAACTAAACTGCGTATAGTTTTTGACGGTTCCGCGAAAAATTCACAAGAAAATTTGTCTCTAAATGATTGTCTTGAAACAGGGGCCTATCATTACCCACGCAATATTTACTTCAAAGGGGAAATTCGAAGAACTTATTGATATAACGCGTTTTAACGACAAGGGTAAACTGGTACGAAGTTTTGGATGGGTTATAAGATTTATCTCCAACTTGAAAAGTGCGGTACAAGGTACTGAAATAAATCGTAGCGAAGGTTTAAGTGTCCCGGAAATTCAAAGGGCAGAAACAGTATTAATACGGTCAGTTCAGCACGAGTCATTTTCATCTGAAATAAAATATTTGTTAAGCTCGGAATCAGGCAAAAAGGGTACGAAAACACCACTGTACATAAACCAGTTTAATCTATTTTTGGATAAGGACATGATTCTTCGATGTAGAACACGTGTAGGAAAGTCTACAATTGCTGAAAGTAGCAAACGACCTGTATTTTTGCCTGCTAAAAGTAAGTTGTCGGAGCTAATAATTAAGGATTGCCATGATAAAGTGTTCCACAACGGTGTAAAGGACACGTTAAACTTAATGAGACAGCGTTATTGGGTTCTCCGGGGGAGGGAACAAGTAAGAAAACTCGTACGTCGTTGCATTTTGTGTAAGAGACTTGAGGGTTTACCCTTCAAGACCGTGTACAGCCCTGAATTACCAGAGTTCCGCATTGATAGTGGTCCGCCCTTTACAAATGTAGGCATAGACTTTGCGGGACCATTAATGGTAACAGGTAGATGGAATAAAGACGAACAAATTAAATGCTATCTGTGCTTGTTTACGTGTGCTGCTACGAGAGCAGTTCACCTTGAAGTTGTCGAATCATTAAGCGTTGAAGATTTTATTTGTGCTTATCGACGCTTTAGTGCTCGTAGAGGGACACCCTCATTGTTGATTTCCGACAATGCCAAAACCTTTAAGTCGGCCTCCAAGGAGATCACTAAACTACTGCGTTCTCCCAAACTAACTGAATATTTTACGATAAGAGGTGTAAAATGGAAGTTTATCGTAGAACTCGCACCATTTTACGGGGGGTTTTGGGAGCGACTAATAAGAAGCACGAAACGTTGTCTGACGAAAGTCGTGGGTCGAGCGACACTAAGTTATGGGGAATTGGAAACAATTGTCGTGGAAATTGAAAGAGTAATAAATTCACGACCCCTAACCTACGTTTTTGATGATACGGACGGGATATCATATCCACTAACCCCATCCCAATTAATAAACGGTCGTAACTTGAGTCAATACCCAAATGAAGCACATTTTGAAGTAATTAATACGTATGAGAGTTTGTCGAAACGAGCTAAGTATAATCGAAAATTACTTTCTAATTTTGTAGATCGATGGAGGAAAGAGTACCTACTGGGGTTGTTGGAAACTTACAGGCCAAGAAACAGTAGTAAGACCAACCCTGACATAAAAATTGATGATATTTGTATCCTTAGGAATGACCAAACGAAAAGATCCTTTTGGAAACTTTGCCGAGTGTTAGAGCTGCTGGCAGGAACAGATGGTACAGTGCGAGCAGCCAGGGTATTAGTATTATCACGGGATGGCAGTAAGAAAGTTTTGAATCGAAATTTGAAATATCTTATTCCGTTAGAAATTCGATGTCCTTATTGGCAGAAAACCGAGTGTGCCGCTAATGCAAACCAGGACACGCGAGCAATGCCACCTCAAGATAGTGCGCAGCAAACGCAACCTAGGCAAGGGCAACAAGCGCCTTCGCAACCACTGCAAGCTGTTACTAGGGCGAAGCGCAACGCTGCTATTATTGGAGAGTTGCAAAGGCAAGCTAGTATGAAACGTAAATGAATATATTGTGATTTGCAGTTATGTGTCAAAATTTAATAGATTGTAGTTGATTTTGTATTCGTATTTATAAGGATGTTTGATTACGCTGTATATCAAACCGGGGGAGTGTGTTGGAGCGATCGAGTCCTGGGAATAGGGTGGTGCCCAGTCTTTCTCCCGTCGACCACTGCGTTGACATGTCTTTCGTGCTAAATCGTTTCGGCACATGACCTCAAGGTTAGTTAGTTGGCTATTGCGACTGAGTATGTAGTAAGCACAATTTTGTTAAGAAAATCACATACATAATCTCACAAATGGAATTTCTCTATGCTCCGACCTAGACTTTACAACAGTAAGTGTCAAGTTTCGCCAACGCTGTCTTGTAATCTGCAGCTTCATCTTGCTCAACTGGGAGGGAATCGAAAATTTCTTGAGTGGCGGCACCTGCTTGGTACAACAGTAAGGCACGTTTCTGAGCATCATCAGTTATATTTACGGCAAGTAAATATGTTTCGAAACGGCGTTTCCAATGTTGCCATCGTTGGCTTATGGACGTCGGGTCGGACACAGGGTCGAACGGTGGAAGCGGTAATAAATCTAATCGTGCTGCCGTCGCCATCTTAAATTCTGAAACTTAACAGAAATGGCATGTGATTTCCCTCCACGTTATCTGCTTTTTGTTTTAATCCTCGTCGCCAAATGTTATGTTGTTAAAAAGGGCCTAATCATGTGCTCACATGTAACACGGTTTACTCCCTCGCCTCGTGCTCTACAACTAACTCCAAGTACCGTTACGTCATAATATGTTAATTTATTCAAAACATTACATTAATCTTGTCGAAATTTTACAAGAAAATGCTTTTTTGATGACGAGTAATTAAGAGAACGTAATGTATACTTTGTCGTGGGAAGAAAAAGTTGGACGAAAAAAGTTGCGAAGAAAAACTCGCAACTGTTCTCAGAATCCGTAACTGTTCTCCCGCAACTTTTAAATTTTATTTTATTTTATTTTTATTTTAAATTTTATTTCAGTCAGAGAAAAGCCAGCACCGTATTCGAACATTTGATAATCATAATTAACATTACTCAGTATCTGCGATGAACAGTAAAATTCGCAATAGGACTGATGATTTATATCTTAAGATTCTAAAGAAACAAACTGGCGATTTTTAGTGCATGAGAAGTCTCCTTAGCCGTCCTTAGCAACAGTGGCGGAAATTTTTGGGGTTTCGGAGGGCTCGGGTCCCCCCAAAATTTGGGCTTTCTTCGGATAATTGAAAACCGCTTAACGTGCCAAAATTACTCAAAGAAATCGTTCTGAAAAGGAATTTTAAGCTAATCTAAGGGGCGTAATTGCCAAATTTGCTGCTCGTTTCGCTTGCAGGTGATCTGCATTTTCCCATTTTACCCCAGGGGCCTCTATAACCTCTTTGTTCTCTTTTTGCAAAATTTTAACATTGCATAGCTGATAAGATGTTAGCCAGTAAAAACAATCATCATCATCATCAGGTACCATCTTCTATCAGAAGGTTGGCTACCATGACCCTCCAACTATCCCAAAATCTGAGTTTTGGTTTGTTGTCATGGTCATAGATAAAATCATAGATATAATCAAACAATATATTACCAAAACCAAAACTGCTTGTGAATTATTCCATTTCCGTGAAATTTAGCCGAAACTTCCATCGGATTCTTCCGAATAAAAGTTATTTTCAAACATATTTCCCACTGGCGAAAACCAGATAAGATGCAAAAAATGAACGTACGACTTGTCAAAAGTGTAACTGGTCGACCTGTAACTTGTCTTAGATGATATATCGATCTTGATATCAAAAATGGATTGTTCTGCTTGCTACTTAATTATGGCCTTGTCAGCAAAGATTTCTAAAGGGTCCCGTCAAAAATTATCTATTTTTATCAAAAAGTGCAGTTCCTTTGAAATCATACATGATCCAAGATGTTATCTTGTCGGAAAATCATAGGCCTCCCCCCCCCCCC